TAAAAACTAAGCTCAGAATCGATTCCAGAGAGAATCGCGATGCATTCCGAAAATCTCAGAATTGATGCACGTATCGCAATACATCGATTTATCATCCCAGCCCTAATAGTTCACCCAAGAATGAAAACTCACCGTCGTGTCGTTCCAAACCCGTAAGACCTCCGTTCATCTCCAGAACACAAATTAAGATATTTTTGATGTATACAGCTCTCATAGACAGCAAGGATCCTAACACGATCAAAGCTCGGAAACGTAGCAAGGAGATCGTTAAAATAGTCTATGTGACATCAGTGATTCAACCGTAAGTTTACGAAGCTACTAGAATACTTTTTGTGCGCAAAAGAAAACAAAAATAACGACTTTATGGGTCCTAACACGACCAAGGCTCGGAAACGTAGCAAGAAGATCGTTAAAATAGTCTATGTGACATCAGTGATTCAACCGTAAGTTTACGAAGCTACGAGAATACTTTTTGTGCGCAAAAGAAAACAAAAATAACGACTTTATTCAGCAATTCGTCTCCTCCGCGTCACCCTATAGCGCCATTTTGGAGAGTATCACATATGTAAACAACGTATGTACGCGGATACACGTTGTTTACGCTTTGATCTGAACATAAACAATGTATCCGCGTACATACATAAATAGAAAATGGAAACTCAAAATATTAATAAACGTATAGTAGTATTTCAATTATACTAAAATAATACTGCATGCATGAATACTAAATTTATCAGTAATTCATAAAAATATACTTACTTGACCCAGTCTGCTGTTCCCCTAACGTTCCCATATGGTTCCCATTTGCTTTTTTCGGGAACCAAATAAGAACGTTCCAGGAACCAAAAATTGTTAGCTGGGTTGCTTGCAACTAGTTTTTCAAAACTAGTTGCAATGCATTCTGGGAATGTCTTGTTTTGTTAGGAAAATGGTACCATAATTTTGCTGGATAGTAGCTGTGTTCAGAATAGCATACTACTGTTTGTGCAAATGTCAGGAGCTCTGAAACGATCTAGGCAGCTGTTTGTTTGTGTATATGTCTCAGAATATCTCATATCATTTGATGACTCGGGTCTCCTCTCACTTAAGCTTCTGGGTCAAGATGTTCTGAGGGGATTGCTGAGTATTTAAACCTATTAAAGCAATTGTTTTTGATCTTTTGCAGGATAAAGAAGCGATAGCCGACAAACACTTGTCCGAAAGTGAAGAGAATGTGTGTGTTTGTGTGAACGAGAGAGAAATGCGTGCCAAAAACACTGTTTTTACGTTCTGCGTCCACACGTTGAGAGATGTTTAAATACATTGTGTGATGCTAGAATACTGACAGATTCATTTAGTAACCTACTTTCATGTTTTCTGTAGCTCTGTGAAGTAAAGAGGATTTATACTTTTTAATAATTCGTTTTATATTTGAATGAGCCACTTTGCAGTGTACGTTGTTTTGGTGCGACACGTTTCATATTTCATACAGTTTATATTCTGAACTTCAGCTTCACTTAATTTATCATTTTATATTCACTCTGGTCAAAGTACAAATTCATACCGAGCACTGTGAAATATGGTTTTGTATTAACACTAAGAAAACTGAAAATATGTTGCAGCTGTATATGAAATAGTTGGAAATATTGTGCAAGCAATAAATAAATAAAAATATTGCACGGGGAACTACTTTCACTATTTTGGAAAACGAATAAAACTCTATTGTTTTGGTGTGCGGTGTTTTGTTTTATGTAACACAAAATTCATTTCACCACATTTGAACTGTTTAATCCAAAATGAGACAGCGATTTACTTAAAAGCATCTTTAATCACACACACACACATCAAAAATACGATCTGTTTAGTCGTCCAGGTAAATAAATATAATAGCAAGAGTGATTTACTAGATATTTAAAACCCGTCCAAGCAAACATACCAAGACATCCGATAAATAAATCCACCCAAAAGAGTACCATAATATGTTTCTGCACGCGTGTAAGTAAATACAGTCATAAAGTACTTTGTGAAAACCATACTAGCTGGTGTATTTCAAAGTAGCATGGTGTCTAGCACACTAAACCGATTTTATATGTCTTCAATATAAGTTTTTAAAGACTTACAGGCAGATTTACACAGCACGGGAATGCAGGAGAGCAGTTCTGCGTCTGCGCAGATGGAGAAACACAACTACATCGCTTACGTTATAATCAATCCATCTATCTTTACAAAACTAGCGTGTTTCATCTATAATACCGTTTCGTTGATCATAATGACAGCGATCTAGTTTTGTTGGGTAACGTTGCGCCTCATTATAGATGGGATCGGACAGTCTTGGTGAGTTTTGGCCGGACATCAGATGGGATGTATATCTGGGATGATGTTATTTCTCTCGGTCTCCGAGCGCAGCGGTGAGGTGAGGTCGGTACATGTCGCCCAGCAGCGTCTCCAGCGCTCTCTTGTGCGCTTTCCCGGGCTGAGAGCGCCACCTGCTGTCTGGCTCGCCGGCGCTCAGCGTGCGGGTCTGCGCGGTGTGAAGCCCCTCGATGGCGCTGGACAGCCAGATCAACCTCCTCAGACTCTGGATGGAGCGACCGCGATCATGCATCAGCTGATGCTCTGTGACCGCACGCCTGCTGCAGAGCAATAATTACAGGAAAACTGCTTGAGGATAGATAGATAGATAGATAGATAGATAGATGACAGACAGACAGACAGACAGATAGATGATAGATAGACAGACAGACAGACAGACAGATAGATAGATGACAGACAGAGACAGATAGATAGAGAGATA